GTATTACAGCCAAGACAGATCGAAACAAAACACCGGTTCCTCTCGATTAGCAAGGATGGCTAATCGAGAGGAGACATCACCTTGCCAACAAAGCAGAAACATCACCTTGCTAACAAAGGCCCACATAGTCAAAGCTATGGTTTTTCCAGCAGCAATATATGGAAGTGAGAGCTGGACCATAAAGAAGGTGGACCACTGAAGAATGGATGGTTTTGAACTGTGGCGCTGGAGGAGACTCTTGAGACTGCAAAGAGAACAAACCTTTGTTCTCTTTGAGGGCCTGGCGTGCTCTGGTCCATGGGGTCACAAAGAGTCAGACACAACTAAATGACTAAAGGACGAGCAAGGATGGCAATGTTGGCTGTCATACCCTTTAAATTTTCCTGTCCTCTCCAAATTCAACTGTGATCCTCACTGTAGCTGTGGGAGTGGGGGATAGATTTTTCAAACATGTACATGTTTTTTGTTCCCTCAAAGAGTTTCTGTAAAGGAATAAGGCTGGCCAGGTTTTTCTCCACCAGGGCAGGTTATCTCACCTTCCAATCTAGATTGGAGGAGCAAACAGACACAGCAGGGGTCATTCCTTCCACCAACAGACACAGCTGGGTTTTTGTCTCCCCCTAGGCGAATACGAACAATCTTATGCAAAATGAACTCCAGCACCTGGACAGTCTTACTACACAATACCTTTTCCTAAACAAACATTATTTCCTAACACCTTGGAAGTCTCCAACCTTGTAACTTCTTTGCAAGATAATGAATTGTTTTCCTGTCAGTACAATACAACAGTGAACTGCACCAGTGATTCTCAATCTTGAGTCCCCAGATGACACTGCACTAAAACTCCCAGAAGCTTTCACCACCAGCTGTGCTGGCCAAGATTTCTGGTAGAAGTAGTACAAGAACATCTAAGGACTCAAGGTTGAGAACCACTGTATGTGAGAGGAGGAGGGAGACAATGGGAGAGAGGGAAAAAGAAAGAGGAGAAGAAGCTGATCCAGTTTCTAATACTTTAAAAAAATATATACTTATTTTGGGACCTTCTCCTAGATCTTGCACCTCCAAACTTCTCCACCACACCTTTGTGTCATAATCTTTCCCTCAGACTGCAGATAGTAGAAAGGCATTTTACGTGGCTCAATGGGAAGGAGAAGGCTGATGAAGTCACTTTTATATAAATATGCAGAAAGAGAATACCCTAATATCCTTCCTCTTCAGTTGTGTTACCATTCTTTGGAAGCCTCCAGAGATGTCTTATAAGGCAGGATTCTCCATTCCTAGTTACACATACATCACAGGGGAAATGATAACACAATCTAGCACAGTTCTGGTATCATGTTACTAGCAGGAATCAAGATGAATTATTCTTTGTATTTGTGTCACATTAATATTTTGTAAATTATACATTTTAATCCACCCCTGTTAAATCCATGGCAAGCTAGAGCATTCAAAGCAATTCCCAGTAAAATACTGGCAGGGCTCCCATATATGGCAACCTGTCAGAAGCAGAAATTGTATTATTTCTGAGTTTTTGCTTGCAGCACATGATAATCAAGATGAGATGGGCTGATCCATGGCAGGGTTACAAAGTGTCAATCAAGGGCACAATGAAAGGAATCTCAGTAAATTGACTGAAAAAAGGGGAAAAACAGGTAAATAATTGGAGCAAAATGTTCAGAAGAGAAGAAAACAGAGTCAGATAATGTAATGAAGACAGAGACCACAATCAAATGATCAAATCTTTACTTAAAAGAGAGAAATAGGATTTTGCCCCGGCACCCATCTCCCCTTTTTAAAATACCACAATTCACTCTAAAAGTATTCTAAAAAGTTTAATACATTGCCACAAATATTTACTTCTTCAAATCACTCATTTTTCATATTTAAAATAAAGTAACAACTATGTGATTAAGGTATTCTCGAAGGCTTTCACAACCGGGATTGATGGTTGTTGTGGGTTTTTCATGCTCTTTGGCCGTGTTCTGAAGGTTGTTCTTCCTAAGGTTTCACCAGTCTCTGTGGCCAGCATCTTCAGAGGACAGGAGTCAGAACTCTGTCTGTGCTCTGATGTAGTTTAACAAAGTTTAACAAACTGCATCAGAGCACAGACAGAGTTCTGACTTCTGTCCTCTGAAGATGCTGGCTACAGAGACTGGCAAAATGTTAGGAAGAACAACCTTCAGAATATGGACAAAGAGCCCAAAAAAACCCCACAACAACCCTATATGATTAAGCATCCTCTTCTACAAAAGGAGAGGGTGTGCCATGAATTTCTGTATCATCTTCCTTAGAAAAACTCACCTTGTGGAGTCAGGACTGTTAGGAAAAGGACATACGATGCGCTTAGCTAACTACATGAAAATAAAGCTTACATTCTAATTCTTAGTTTTCCCAGCTGAGTCCCAAGTCAATTATAAAGCAGAAGCTGGAGCCACGGAGCAAGACTAGATACAGCTCTGTGTGCACAAGTAATCAACTCCAATTCCCCCTGCCCAATTTAATTACAAAACAACATTTGGTATATTGGCTAAATGCATACCAAGCAACCTCTCGCTTCAGTCTTTTTGAAGCATTGACAAGACTCTTAGCTTCACTGTGTAACTTGCACCGTCATTTTCATTTGCAGATATATGTCCTTTTTTATTTGCATCTTATGTTTTTCTTCCTAAAGCTATGGTATTACTATCAAAATGTTTCTTTTCTTATTCTTTACATATGGCTGATATATGTGCAACAAGAATGATTCAGAACATGCATAACTAATTACTTTTGCTTGGAGTCTTATTCATACATTGCATTGCATTTCTATGCCACCTTTCTCCCAGCAGCTCACAAATCATGAAATAAGACAAGAATTAAAAACTATGTATTAAAAGCTATTTAAAAATTGCTAAATAAGAAATAACAAAAACCATGACATATAACAAATTAAGAAATAGATAATATTTTAAAACACATTAAAAAAGGATATATTGGCAGAAACATACAACAATGAGCTATTAAACATTAAAAGTCTGTTGGAATAAAAATGTTTTCAACTGCCACTAAAAAAAAAAGAGGAGAGAAGACCTGACCATGACATATAACAAATTAAGAAATAGAAAAAATATTTTAAAACACATTAAAAAAGGATATATTTGCAGAAACATACAGCCATGAGCTATTAAACATTAAAAGTCTGTTTGAATAAAAATGCTTTCAACTGCCACTAAAAAAAAAGAGGCAAGAAGACCTTCCTTGCCTCATGAAGGAGGGCATTCCATAATCTGAGTGCAGCTACTGAGAAGACCTGCTCTTGAGTCCCTGTCAAATGCACCTGTATAAGTGATGAGACCCAAAGAAGGGCCTCTTGGATGATCTTAAGACTCAAGGAATGTTACATGGCCTGTTCCTCTCTCTACTCATCTTCTTTCCCCTCTTCCTTTGGATTAACTTTTGAATATAAACTTCCTGGGTTGGTGTGTCTCTTACGAAGGCCTCCATCCCGCTTTGCAGAGGACTGTCCTCTATTTGAAAACATTCCCTTTGTGAACCAATGTCACAGGAAACGGGACGATATCAGTTGTTCTAACCAATCCAGAGTTTCCACTATTATGTCTGGGGGTTGGGGCAAAGAGGCGGTCCCAGAAGCAGCAAAATCAGGGAGCTGGACAGGGGACAGATTGTATTTGTCTTCAGTGTGGAAGGGATTGCCACTCTCGAATTGGCCTTCTCAGCCACACTAGATGCTGTTCCAAGTCCTCGATACAGAGCACGTTACCATAGTCTCTTGAGACTGAAGGATGCCTATTTTGGGGGGCTCAGAACTTTCCATTTTTACTGGAGATTTATGTTGCTTTTAAATCCAGAGTTTCCATTATTATGACTGGGGGGGGGGTTGGGGGGCTCACAACTTTCCATATTTACTGGAGATGTATGTTGCTTTTGTTATGTACTTTTCACCTCACACTTTGCTCCTTAGGTTATCGTTATACCTCCATTCAACACACAAAAGAGAAATTTAGCACACACAAGTAACAGTTTGTATGGGACTTGGAAAGAAAGACACCTTGCAGTTGAATGCTGGTGAAGTAAAATACAAATTAAAATAACATTAATAAATAGAATTATAAAATAATGTAGAATGATTCAAACTACCAAGCAACTGTTTTTCTCTTCTTCTGTATATGTCTCAATGTCTCTTCCTTCAAGTAACAAACACTGAAGAGATCATAGAACGAAATACTGAAACTTCATAATACTGATAATTGGTCTCAGATAGACCAAATATATATTGCAATGGTCAAATTTAATAGTAAATGGGCACTAAAGTGTGTGTCACCTTTTAAAATCAATTTCCTAACATCTTGCTAACTATTCCTTTCGATATAGAGGCAGTATCATGACATCAGCATAAACACATTATGACTGGCACATGTAAAGCAAATTGGTAAAAATGATCAGTGAATTTGGGTCCCTAATACAGTGGTGCCTCGCTTAACAACGTTAATTTGTTCCAGCGAAATCGCTGTAGAGCGAAAACCCCATCAAATGAAATTGCGAATTTGCTGTAGAGCGAAAACGCCGTCAAACGAAATTTTAAAACCCACTGAAACACACTGAAAACCGTTCAATGCTTTTGCAATCGCAAAAACTTCAACATTAAGCGGATTCGTCATTAAACGGGGTAATCGTCCAGCAGGGCACGACTGTAATCAGAACATGAACAAGCATAGCTGGTTGCTTTTACTTACAGTTCATGTCAACCCATTTCCACTTCTATTCAGTACTAATTACGCTTTAAACACTGGGTGGTTCGCAAAACACTGTACTTATTTATTGGTGGGGAAAAGACAATCATGGGAATCAAAATAAAATGAAATTGTAACTGTACTCTCAGCGCCAAGCACAGACACTAAGAACTCAATGGGCAGAGCCTTTTACATTTTTTTTTTCTGGGGAAAACCAACATCACTAAATAAATGAATGAGAAGTCAAAGGAAATTGGCAAATCAACGTACCATCACTGTTGATGCAGACCACTTGGGGGATCTGTGTACCAGGCCCACATTCCTTCTCATTGTCAGGAATGCACTCTTCCAATCGTACTATTCTCCAGTCATAGCAAGAAGGTTCTTCACATGGGATGGCTTCAACCAGATGAGGGCAGTTGCCAGTTCCCCCGGTTGGTTCATTAGTGATGCGACGTTTTCTTAGTTTAAATCCTTAAACATTAGAAACATGAACGATATTAATCTACATTTTCAATTAAATGAGCACTGTGATATATTTCCTATACAAAGCTGTCAACATTTGTTTTCCATAATTGTTCCCTTAAGATTTCATAAGTAGAATCCTCTTCCGGTGCTTTGCAATTGTAACTTGCCAAGGTGTGAGCTGACCAGTAATGGCGCGTGCACCAGTAAGTATCTTGTACCTCTTTGCACAATCAAGAGCACAGTTATTGCCAATGGGTATACTCCACAATCTCTTCCTGCACAACAGAGATGAAGTAGAGCTACACAGCATTATGCTCCAATGATGGTCAATAGGATTCTAGTCAGGTAATTAACTTACCTGAAGCAACAAATTATGTGAGCTCTGTAAGTTACATATCTGGATGTGGAGCCAGATGTTTGAAGTTCAGTTCTATGCTGTGCATCCCTGAAGAGCCAGACTGTGTGGCTTTGGGCAAGCTAGACAATCCCAAAAGTGTCTCCAGAAGAAGGGAATATTAAAACCCTTTTGGGTTTACTATCATAAAATCAATCATTCATAAGTCAAAACCAACTTTACAGCACACAATTATTACTGTCTTGACATATCATGTTTCCAATCCCTTCTGAATGGTTGTTTTGTAAGGTGGTAGCAATGGATCAATGCTCAGTATGGTATCCATTGTTCACAGCATCCTACAAGGTTCCATATAGCTTCAATTCTGTTTAACATTGGCTTGAAATCACTAAAAGAGACAATCCACTCGTATCTGAGATTTGGTATTATCAGTACAATGATCCATACACACCTCCTTCTCTACTTTCTGTGTGTTTCTACAGAAATCACACAAGGTGGTTGTGGATGTTCAGAAGCAATGCCTGGAAATCAGTGAAAGGTTTTATATGCCCTGAACTGAATCCAAGGAAGAATGTCACACTTCTAGTCTGTAAACATGTACATTAGAGAACTTGTCTTCACCCAGTTTTAGTTGGGGTTGCATTCCTTCAGGAAAAGCAGCCCCAGAATATGGGACTGTTTCTTCATTTAGTTTTGCCATTGGGTTTTTTCCAGATGGCACCTATGACCAAGAGCACTAATTTGTGCTTAGTCTAGCTTACTAACTGCACCCCCTTCCTGAAGAAGCCAAATGGACCATGACGACATGTATTTGGGTCGCTGTGATGCACCCTACCTTAAGCAGCTAATGTATTAATAAACAAATGGTCCATTGGAAAAAAATTCTGACCATGGGCAGTTGATTACTACCCCATTGCTGCTCCAACTGCAATGGCTGCTGATCCAGTTTCTCAGCTTAATTCAAGGTGCCACTATTAAGTAATTTAAGGCCAGAGTAGCTGGAGGGCTGTCTTCTCCTTTATGACCATGGCCATGCTATGAGAACTACCTGTGTTGCTTTTGGACAGCCTGTTGACAACCAATTTACAGTACATCTGGGCAGGATGTATTTGAGGACTTTCTTAGTGGCCACACACAGCTACAGACTTTCTGTTCCAGGTGATAATTCCAGCTTTTTCATTGCTCCCTGTGTACTCTCTCCTTAAAATGTTTCTATTTCAGTATTTAACTTGGATAGTCCATGTGCAAATTTGTTTATTTTTAGTCTATTATTAACAATAATTATAATTGCATGCTGTCAACTCAAATCTGATTTATGATGACCATTTCCAGGGCTTCAAGATAGAGAATACACATTCTCTTCTTCTGGGGGCATTTCTGGGGCTGTGCAGCTTGCCCAAGGCCACACAGGTTGGCTGTTCCTCTAGGAGGCACAATGGGGAATTGAATTGTCAATCTCTGGCTCTGCAGCCAGCTACCTAAAACATTGAGCTATTCAGCTACCAGTCTGTGATTATCACCATCTTTAAAAAAAAGTTAGAATATTATATGGGGATAGTCTATGATTCTTCCTGTGTAATTAGTGTTAACAATTTCTTTCTTTGTATTCTTGAAGGCTTTCACAGCTGGGACCTGATGGTTGTTGTAGGTTTTTTGGGCTCTTCGGCCATGTTCTGAAAGTTGTTCTTCCTAATGTTTTGCCAGCCTCTGTAGCTGGCATCTTCAGAGGACAGGAGTCAGAACTCTGTGTTCTGGACTCACAGTGGTCCTCAACCGTGGGCCTCCGGATGTTCTTGGACTTCAACTCCCAGAAATCCTGGCCAGCAGAGGTGGTGGTGAAGGCTTCTGGGAGATGTAGTCCAAGAACATCTGGAGGCCTAAGGTTGGAGACCACTGTTCTGGAGTACAATTAGGCACTTTCTTTCTTTCTTTCTTTCTTTCTTTCTTTCTTTCTTTCTTTCTTTCTTTCTTTCTTTCTTTCTTTCTTTCTTTCACTACAGACAGGATTGTTTCTAACTTCTGTTTTTGTTTTTGTTTAGATTGCTACATATACGGTGTAAGTATTTTCTGAAGCAGAAAGACAGGAGGGAAAAATGCTAATATAAATGATGTATGATGATCACAGAGGATATTTGTCAAATTACAAGTCAGTACGTTATTACCCGGGAGAGAATCAGCTAATCAATCATTAATGCAAGCACAAAGGATGTTGTGTTGTGGTACCTCTGTATCAAAGGATCCATCTTTATCTCAACTAGGCTGGAAAATGAAAGGGGCGGTGCATTCTGTCTGAATTCATGATTAGCATTTGGCATTTGGCAATGAGCAGCATCACTCCAGAAGATCAGACGCTTGAACTATTACACTAATCGTGTTATAACCAAGCTTCAGGATTCATATGCATATTCTAGGACAAACATCAGTACAATTAGGCAATGCTCAAATGGCCTGAAATCCTTTTACTGACTGGGCGTTCCCCTTAAAATCATCTTGCTCAACAGATTGCACTGCAAGAGGAGGGGTGCTTAAGAAAGACATTCTGTTGTTCAGAAAGATTACCTTGTATGAACCTGGTAGGAGTAGATGAAAAATTCTTTTGGTTTGTTACTGCTTTCTTGTAAGGAGTTATCCAAATTTTCAACTTGAGATTTTTTTAAAAATGCCAACAAAACCTGAATTTCTCAGGAAAAAAATTAAAAACTCCAATGTGGAAGAAAGTGAAACCGCCTCATGGACATTTGTCTGTTCAGCCACCAGGCTTAGAATGTTTTAGCTCTTCATTTTCTGGGTTTCTGTTTCTGTGTTTTGGACCGTATCAGTAGTGCTGTATAAGGTTAGTGTTACCACCACATTTTCTCTGTGACAGACTCCTCATCTTTAATATCTCTGCAGCAAGGATACCTGGGTGGCCAAGATACTCCCAGAAGAAGAGTGTGATAAACCACTTTGGGGTACTGGATACCAAGAAAACCTTGAAACAAGTTGCTATACAGTGGTGCCTCGCTTGACAACGTTAATCCGTTCCAGAAAAATCGCTGTAGAATGAAATAGTCATCAAGCGAAAGTAAAAAGCCCATTGAAACGCACTGTAAACCGCTCAATGCGTTCCAATGGGTGAAATACCTCAGCGTCCAGCGAAGATCCTCCATAGGGCGGCCATTTTCTGGTGGCTGTAATGCGAGGAATCTGTCCTAAGCACAGTGGGGAGCCATTTTGAACAGCGGGCGGCCATTTTGAAACCTGACGATCAGCTGTTTTCTGATTGTAGTAAAGCGAAAAATCGGTTCCCGAAGCAGGGAACCGATCATCGTGAAACCAAAAAAACCCATTCACTCATCGTTTTGCAATCACAATAGCAATTGCAAAAAACACATTGTGAAACAATTTCATTGTTAAACAGGGTGATCGTTAAGTGGGGCACCACTGTAATTGACTTGACTGAACAAGGTTGGTTGGAAGGATAGAACAAAGATCCATGAATTTTAACAACAAAAGGATGTCATGTTAAAAAGTGCCAGCCACAGAGAAACATTGCACTTCTGTACAAGACTGAATCTCACCCAGAGGTCAGAAAACTCTTGGAATTTTTCATTCTCACTTGTGAGGATGAAAAAAAAAAGTGAAGACTTAAACCCCATTTATGTAATAATCAGGTGCAACACAATCCTCTCCATAACCAAGAATACATATTGAATTTGGCTAGTGCAGATGGCTGAGAATGTTATTCTATTTATTTCTGAGAAAAACTAAGAAAACTATCAAGGTTCATAATGAAAAAAATATTGAGATAAAAAAGAATACCAGAAAAAGCACAAATGACAGGATTATCCATCGAAAAATCATAGTCATATAGAATAACCCTACAGGGAGAGTGACCAAGAACTCTTTAAAAGGCTTGCTGATTTGAAGACAGAACTCAAGGTTTCCACCAATGGTCAAACTACACAAAATGCTCAACTTTGCCTTTAGATGTGGACTTTTTTTAAGTGGCAAAAGAAATCTACTTGTCCAAACATGAGTTATTTTCACCTCCACACCTTGTGAATTAGTTTCTTTTGTTTTCTTATTGGTTACCAGAAGGCAAAAGTAGTTTCATTTCAAGGAATATAGCTCTGAGAAAAACACAGCACTAGAAGACTAACATGCTGGTGAGCAGGTCATGTAGTTTGACCTGGGGTTGGGCATAAAGTGTGTTGTTTCAGCTGAAACCCATTCAACCCTCAGGCTGAAAACCAATGACATTTGTTTGGACCAATGACATTTGTTTGTAAGTGGTTTGTTTTGTGTCAACTTTTAATACTGTAATGCCCCTTAAAAAATCAAGCATACATAATCTGTTGAGCAAACCTGTCTCACTGCTTTACTCAACTCACATTCTTGTGGGTACTTCTAATGCAAAATTACAGTGAAAGATGTGACTAATAAGCTGAACTCTTCAGTCTCAGCTTATCAGATGAAAGCACAGTGAAAGGAGTTGGGAGAGTGAGAAGATTTTTAATGCAAATTGAGAGCTTTTTAGATGTTGCTAGAGAGTGAACAGGGAATATTAGAAGAGGTCATCTTAGTATCAAACTTTGTTTGCTTATATTAGTATTTTAGCCCATTTTCTTTGATGCCTACAGTTCTTCCAATTGGTTAATGGTAGAGTATT